AGGCCTGTCGTCCCGGACGAGTACAGGATGAAGGGCACGTGCTGGCTGCGGTCAGCAAGCTCCACGGCGCGGTAGGTGGCCGGGTCGGGCCGGGGCTCGACGCCCTCCCCCATCCGCAGCACGTTGAGGAACGTCTCGACGCCCTCCGGGGCCTCGCCGCTCAGGATGACGTGTTTGGCGCCCGGGTAGGCGTCCATCACGGTCTGAATGCGATCGCGCTCCGTGATGACGACCTTAGGCTGCGTCAGGTTCAGCGCGTGCTGCATCTCGGCTGGCGAGTAGGGGCAAAGGCACGGGGTGAGTGCTCAGAGTGCCGAACAGGGACAGTACTTCAGGTACCTGCGGGTACTTTGAGGTACCTTTGGTTCCGGAGGGCACGACGCAGGCGACACTCAGCCCGGCGCACACGGCCCCCAGCACGGCCGGGAACACCTCGTGGTAGTTCCGGGAGACAAGCGCCACCACGTCCTTGGGCTTCAGCCCCATGGCCTTGAAGCCCTCGGTGGCGTACATCGTCTGCAGCAGCAGCTCTCGGAACGACATGGACGTGCCGAAGTGGGCATCGATCTGCATCGCAAAACATAAACATACTGGGTCGTCAAAGCTTCACCTTCACCACCCGAGCGCCTTTCGAGCACAGGGTAGGCACCCCGCTCCAACGCTGGCCGTGGGGTTTGCCTACCGCCGCGTCCACAGGCGCTCTGGAGACTGTCCACCCACCTACCTGCGCCGGCTTGGTCCGGTGCTGCCACTTGCGGAGCGCCTCCAGCGCCACATCTCCGTAGGAGAGCCCCTGGTCGGGCTTCGACTCCCTGCCCACGCGGATCTCGTTCCTGTTGGAGGTCCTGGTCGAGTAGGTGAGCCGACTCTTGACGCTGCCGGCCGCCTCACTCGTCACACACGCATCGACCGTCTTGCTGCTCTTCGACGCCGCAACGCCGTTCTGGGACAACGCGGTAGGCATTTTGTGGCAGGCGGCTTTAGCCTCGAAAAACGATCAGTTGGGCGGCAAGTGAACGACGCGCTCGCTGATGGGCAGATCGAGTGATGTTGACTTTATCAGCGCGACTCGGATACTGGCGGATGGCGGACTTGTTTTGTCCTGCCGGGCCTCGCTAGACCCGTCTGCCCCCTCCGGTCAGCTGAGATGACACGCGCAGGCGAAAATAGTGATGCGGTAAAGTTGTGTTCGTTGGAAGTGTTTCGGTGGTGTGACACTGGCCCACTCTGCACTTCGACCTCAAGGGGAAGAGTGAGTGAAGTGAGATGAGTCTCGAGCGGTTTCCTGCAATGTGATAAGAGGAGCAGATTGAGAATAGAGAGGGGGGATACTACTTTACACTGTGGTGCCGAGTGCCCCCCCCCCC